AAAAAAAAAAAAAAAAAAAAAATATATATATATATGGTATATATATATGGTTTATTTTTATTAACCTGCATCTTATTAAGAAGCTTTTTTCCATGTACTTATTTATTGCAGGCTTATTTTATTAAATTGTAAATAGGTATCTGCCTGCTTTCCATGTAAATTAAATTTATAAAACATTTTTAAAAAGGTAACCTGAATCATTTTAAATATACACCTGCCTCCTATGTAAATTACATTTGTTATATGTAAATTACATTCACTATTTATTTATTTATTTTCATTTTATTTCATTTCAGAATTTATTAACCTGCCTTTCTATGTAAATAAATAAATGTATATACATAAATAAATAAATGTACTCTATTGCCAGTTTTAAGCTGTCTTAATAAGTACCTGCCTTTTTTATGTAAATTACATTCATAAATAAATAAATTCATTGCAAATTAACCTGGATTTTACTAATCTGCACCTTTCTATGTAAATGACATGCATTATATGTAAATTACATTCACTATAAATAAATGTATATATAAATAAACATGTATGTATTTATTTATCACTATTGCAGATTTATTTTATTAACCTGCAGCTTATTAAATAAGCACCTTCCTTCTTACTATGAAACTAAATAAATAAATAAACACAGTGTTCAATGTTCAGTGTTAAAAAAAAAAAAAAAAAAAAAAATATATATATATATGGTATATATATATGGTTTATTTTTATTAACCTGCATCTTATTAAGAAGCTTTTTTCCATGTACTTATTTATTGCAGGCTTATTTTATTAAATTGTAAATAGGTATCTGCCTGCTTTCCATGTAAATTAAATTTATAAAACATTTTTAAAAAGGTAACCTGAATCATTTTAAATATACACCTGCCTCCTATGTAAATTACATTTGTTATATGTAAATTACATTCACTATTTATTTATTTATTTTCATTTTATTTCATTTCAGAATTTATTAACCTGCCTTTCTATGTAAATAAATAAATGTATATACATAAATAAATAAATGTACTCTATTGCCAGTTTTAAGCTGTGTCTTAATAAGTACCTGCCTTTTTTATGTAAATTACATTCATAAATAAATAAATTCATTGCAAATTAACCTGGATTTTACTAATCTGCACCTTTCTATGTAAATGACATGCATTATATGTAAATTACATTCACTATAAATAAATGTATATATAAATAAACATGTATGTATTTATTTATCACTATTGCAGATTTATTTTATTAACCTGCAGCTTATTAAATAAGCACCTTCCTTCTTACTATGAAACTAAATAAATAAATAAACACAGTGTTCAATGTTCAGTGTTACTTCTATGACCTCAAACAAACAGATATTTAACATTAGATTAGAACAACAGATCAGATTTTGTCAGTTGATACCTATATACAGGTCTCTCTGCAGCCTCGAAGTCCAAACGCTGACCTGGACGTTGTTGAAAATTGCTACACTGACGCTGGAGTGATGGAGGAGGGTAGGAGTTCACATTTTCTGCAATCACAAATAAACTATATTAACACAAACAAGCCCCTCAAGATGAACAAATTTATGCAAAGCCATCCTAATCATTTATTCACCCTCATGGTAAAAACACATGTTTTTTGTGCTTTCTGAGTGTCATCAGTGTGAGCATAGTTTGACTGGCTGAACTATGCCAAAGTTTAAGTCCTCAAATCTGCATTAAAGGACATAAAGCATTCCTTACTGCTCAGAATGTGGAAGAACGTCCTCATGAAGCGCTGCGCATACTCAGGTTCTCCATGTTTCAAGTGTCCCAGGTGAATGATGTGCTGTTCTAAGGGGTAGCTGGCAAGCTCCTCCACCTGAGCAGTGCTGATGTGGTCACCCACCGTCAGGGTGAAGAGAACAACACCCTCACACTTTGCCACCCTGGAGATAAGGTCCAGCTTCGCTCTGTCCTGAGATGCCATCTCCTCTCCAATGATGGCCAACACCATCTTGTTCTTGCGGCCCTTAGGAGCAGTGAGGATGCCCTGCATTATGGCGTATTCCATCGCAAGATCCAGTCGGGAAGAGCCTCCGGTTTGCTGTAGATCCTGGTAGATGCTCCGCTTCATTAAACTACGATCTGGAAACTGTTGGAAGCTGAAAATCACTTTGACACTGGACTGGGCTTCACTGTACGAGGAGCTCTGCTGGTAGATGGCCACTCTCGCTTGTCTGTCGGCCCCGTTGGGTTGACTGCTCACGACAATCTGATCAAGCACACCGCCGAGCACCTCCTTCACACCCTCGTACTCGTCAGACAGGATGCTACGGGAGCCGTCCACAATCACCGCCAAGTCCATGTCCACCTCCTGAGGAGCAGATGGCAGGTTGGTGCCGTCACATTCTCTAGCTGGTCTGCAGGGATCTTAGAAGAGAAAAGAGAGCTGATCACAAACAAACTACGACCACAGACCTCCATAGGGAGATCTGCAGAAATCAAACACCTATCAACCAATGTTCAAAGAGCCTCCGGTTTGCTGTAGATCCTGGTAGATGCTCCGCTTCATTAAACTACGATCTGGAAACTGTTGGAAGCTGAAAATCACTTTGACACTGGACTGGGCTTCACTGTACGAGGAGCTCTGCTGGTAGATGGCCACTCTCGCTTGTCTGTCGGCCCCGTTGGGTTGACTGCTCACGACAATCTGATCAAGCACACCGCCGAGCACCTCCTTCACACCCTCGTACTCGTCAGACAGGATGCTACGGGAGCCGTCCACAATCACCGCCAAGTCCATGTCCACCTCCTGAGGAGCAGATGGCAGGTTGGTGCCGTCACATTCTCTAGCTGGTCTGCAGGGATCTTAGAAGAGAAAAGAGAGCTGATCACAAACAAACTACAACCACAGACCTCCATAGGGAGATCTGCAGAAATCAAACACCTATCATTCACAATGTTCTACACATACTCCATTCCTCGCATGTATGTTTATTAAACAGTTTTTTGTATTATTTAATGCTTTTAGCTACCTATCCGAATATAGTACTTTTACACATTAATTTGATGAGAAATGTTTGAGTTCATATTGAATTGTCTGACCTTATTTGCAGACTTTTTGCAAATATAAACAATGTTTGAGACACTGTACACATTATATTGGGTAAGGTTTTTTAATTAATACTATTATTTAGCAAGGATGTATTACATTAATTATAGTGACAGTGAAGACATTTATAATGTAACAGATGTAAAAGATTTCTATTTCATATAAATGCTGAACTTGAACTTATTCATCAAGGAAATACTGGAAAAAAGTATTATGGTTTCCACAAAAATATTAAGCAGTTTTTCACACAATAATAATAATAATATTTCTTAAGCAGCAGATCAGCACATTAAAATCATTTCTGAAGGATCATGTGACACTAAAGACTGGAATAAGTTATTTTCAGTTGCAACAATACTTCACAATAATGAGGTGAGCTTGGTGAGCAGATTCTTTTAAAAATATCTTACAGATACCAAACGTTTGAATGGCATACTATACATATGATATGATATGATGTAATATGATGAGTCTTCTTTTGGTTTCATGTAGCACTGTTAAATATTAGATCATCTTCTATAGAATGAATCATGATTCTTCCTTATTTTCTTATTGCTATTTGACACATTCATATTTTTTCACTGGGTGTGAGACAGATGGGGAGAATTTACTGGGTCTTACCAAAGCAAATAACACAACTCTGGATCTTACTGAGAGTAGTATTCTGTTCTTGCAATCTACCCAGCACAGTCAAGATAAAACTCTGGGTTTCATCTGCCTGCATACAACAAAACATCACACAATGAGAATGAATAGGCCTACACACTGTTAAAAACAGTTTTGTATTAAAACTTCTTCTGTTTTAATACAAAACACACATCATGATGAAATCATTAAAGGGGCAGTTCACCCAAAAGTAAAAATTCAGTCAGCATTCAGAAAGGTTTGACGAACCAATTCACTATCTTAAAGGGGTCATATGATGCCTTTTTAAAGATCATTATTTTGTGTATTTGGTGTAACAGAATATGTTGACATGCTTTAATGTTCAAAAAACACATTATTTTTCAAATACTGTACATTATTGTAGGTCCTCTATGCCCCGCCTCTCTCAAAACGCTTCGTTTTCAACAAAGCCCCCTCCTTTGACAAGCGCAGTCTGCTCTGATTGGCCAGCTGACCCAGTGCATTGTGATTGGCCGAACACCGCAAGCACTCGTCGGAAATGTAACACCCCTTACCATAATCGCGAGCTTCATCTTTCCGAACAGCTTGTAACACTCCAAAGAGAAAGGAAAACTTGAAATCGCATCATATGACCCCTTTAAACTTAACAAGTAATAGAAAAGTGTGACTTTAAAATTTCCCCTTGGTCAGTCATACAGATTTGTAACAACATGAAGGCAGATTTAAGTGTTCTTACAGTAACTTTACCTCAAAAGCTCTTCTAATATTAGGGGCATTTCTTAGTGCGATGACCCCAAGCTTAATGTTCAGGGCTTTGTACTCTAGAATGGCTGTGGTGAGGGACGTCGAATCCTGAGATTCTCCAGCGGTGAGGAAGATCGCTACCTTCCTCATCAGGACACCCTTTCGCACACGCTTCAGGACATTCCTGCCCACGAACTGCATGGCAGCGCCTATGTTACGACGATTTGAAGTGCGTTCCAAGGCGATGTTATTCACCGCTTCAATAAGCTGCTTCTTCCGGTGATAGTCGGTGAAGCGGATCAGGAATCTGGTGTAGGAGCTGTAGGAGACCACAGCCACCCGAGTCCCTGTTGGACAGCTGCTCTCTGCAATGTTAATATTGTCCAGCAGTCTAAGGACTACAGAACGCATGCGTTCAAAGCCTTGAGGAAGCACATCTTCAGACATGTCCAAGCCAATCACAAGATCAGTGGGGTAGGCAGGGCATTTTATGTTATCTGAAGAGACAAATATATAAGAGAGAGAAGAGTAAGAGACCATATTTAATAATGAATTTAATTTTAATTGAATGAATGAATGAATTAAATGAATTTTTAATTTTCATTTATAAAATTGATTTCACATTTTTGGCTTCTCATTTCAGTGTTCTTAGAAATATGACATAAAAAGTTACCTACCTCTGCAGCAAACTGTTAAAAAAACAACAAAAATGTCAATAAAAAGCATCATCATAAGGCTATTATCTATTTAAAGAAAAAAAAAAGAATCATAAATAAAGGTTTCTTACTGTGTGTGTGTGTATATATATATATATATATATATATATATAATTAAACATTATTTCAATGTATTTACTTATATTTCAAATTTAGACACTTCATATTTAGACACAACTCTATTTTGATTATTGTGGAGTAACTTTGCAAATATACTATATTTGTACTTATTTGTATTAAATTTACATTACCACATTTAGAATCCTGAAAAAATGCATCGCAGTTTCCACAGAAATATCAGCATATTAGAATGGTTTCTGAAGAATCATGTGACACTGAAGACTGGAGTAATGGCTGCTAAAAATTTAGCTTTGCCATCACAAAAATAAATTAAATTTTAAAATATATTAAAATAAAAAACAATTATTTTCCACTGAAGACTGGAGTAATGGCTGCTAAAAATGTAGCTTTGCCATCACAAAAATAAATTAAATTTTAAAATATATTAAAATAAAAAACAATTATTTTAAACTGTTGTTTTATATTTTTTGTTTTTTACATTATGTGAACTAAAGTGTTATTTTCAAAATCCCACACTTTCTTTACAGGTTCCAGTACATATAACATTTTAATGTTAAACTGTACAGCAGTAATAAAAAAATAATAATAATAAAATCAGAAACTTACAGAAATCTGTCTGGTTCCTCGTGGTCCTTTTGGGCCCTATGTGAAGAAAACAACATTCAGTATCCCTTCAAATTCCCATGATCATGATGTGAATAATTTTAATATAAACATACCCTGTGTCCAGTCATGCCCTCGCTGCCAGGATCTCCACGTGGTCCTGGCCTTCCAGCATTGCCCTGTTATCAGATATCCAATTAAGTCTCCTTAAGGTTCATAGAATGAGTAAAAAAATAAAACTTTAAAATGTTATTACCCCTCTTCCTCTGTTGCCTTTAGGACCACCACCTCCATTTCCTCCTTTAAAACCCTGTTCACCCTGAATGTCAAAAAAGAGAGTGACTAAAGATTGTTCACTCATTATTGGTTATACTATCAAGTGATTATTTTAGAACCAACCACATTATAATTACTGTACTTCCAAGTTTTGGATGAATGAAAACTCACCTGAAGTCCAGGATAACCTGGGAAACCAGAATCTCCCTAAGAAAAAAATGTAAGAAATAAAAAATAAATAATTTAAAAATATATATTAAAAGACTATATGTTGTTTTTAGTGAAATAATACCATACTGTATATTGTGGCATTGCGCAAATTTGATATTTTAGAACAAATTATTGCAACATAGTTCTCTATAAACCTTCTGTCCATTGAGTCCTGGGAATCCATAGCCATCTGCACCATCTTTTCCCTATGAGAAATAAATGTTGCAATCAGTGGTTGCATCTGTATCTAATGTCAAATAAAGACAATCAGAAAAATTTTTGAATTGTTACATTTAAGAACAAAACAGCATTTCTGAATTTGCTAAATGATGATGCACAATGCCCAACATTGCTGAGTTCTGGTAGCGTATAAGAAAGAAAGAAAAAGAAACCGGCAGTCCTCTAGGGCCTGGAGATCCGAAAGCTCCCTTGTCTCCAGGATCACCTGGCTGGCCCTGCAAGATGAGAAGGTTTAGTGCTAAAAAAGCTTACATTTATAAATAAAGAGGATGATTTTAAAAGAAGTCACTGACCTTCTGTCCCCTGGACCCAGAACTTCCTTTAGATCCTGGCCTTCCTGGAGAGCCAGGAGATCCCTGTGTAAAAGAAATCAACACAATCTCATTGATGGCCGGATGTGGTTTACTGGATATTAATGGCAACAGTAACCAAATAAAATAGTCAATTCATTGTTTTTCAACATGCACCTGAGGTCCAGGTAGACCAATAGAACCTTTCTGCCCAACTGGACCAGGTGGACCAATAGCACCCTGAACAGAGACAGAAAGAAAGACTCGATCACAAGCTCAAACTCAATATTTACATATATCCAATTTGAGATCAAATGCATTTTGAATGGGGGTTACATACATTTCACATAATTAATAGTACTCCAACACAAATGTCAACTTCAATTGCATCTTTTCTCACTGTTAACAAACTGGCAAACAACATTCAGCTACAACTCTACATTACCAGTGGACCTGTGGCTCCAGGGAGTCCTTGTAGTCCTGGTGTTCCTGAAGGCCCTCTGGGACCCTGAATTCACCAACAAAAAAGTTATTTGGTATAATTTTAGAAGTGGCTTAAATAATATTTCGACAGTACTTTACCAGCAGACCCGCTGAGCCTCTTCTGCCATTAGGACCCTGAAAATAAAGATCAAGATATTAAAAGAGAAAACAGGCTTATAAGTTAATACTTCTGTATTATATTTACATATCTAAGATTAAGATTCATTTACTGGTCTGCCATTATCACCAATTTGACCAGGAAGACCATCTGAACCTGGTTCACCCTGTTCACACAGAGAGAATGATAAGAAAATAATTGATATTTGTTGTTAAATCCTTCACATATAAATACATACACACACACAAGGACTAAGCAACAATAAAAAATAAATACTACTAATAAAATGTATAATAAATATATAGTCGACAACAAATTTCATTATCGATCATTATCGTCTGGTCTTTTGTCACTGACATCCGTTTTCTGTGTTACAGCTTTTATATCTGTTTTTATAGAATTACTGTAAATGTGAACATTTTTTGGAATAGAACATCGGCCAGGATGCAGAATAACATGTTTTCCAAAAAAATACAGAATACAGAAAATAAAATGACACTTTTTTTATTGTTTTAATCAAAAAGATTACAAACAACAGATTAGTTTATCATTTTTATTTGCAGCCCTAAAATTTCTATTACTACACTTAGACATGTAAATGTAAAATGTCACTGCTAAGGGTCAGTTGCTAGTAAAATTAAATAATCTCCCCATACCTGAATGCCTGGGCCGCCGATGTCACCTTTAGGACCGCGGGAGTTGTTGTCTAATCCTGGACTTCCCTGATTATAATCAAATGGATTAACAGGGGTCAAAATTCAGCCAAACACTACTGGAACATCTACGTTTGACGTTTATCAGTCGCTGTCCTTGCACCTGCTATTATTCCCCACAAGTACCCTACAATTCACTATTTTGCTTCAAGACGCTAGAGACATTCTTTGCCAAATTTGGCAACAAGAAACCATGTTAACCACAAACCATTCCTTTGGAACAGAGTGAACTTGACAAATTAACTGAATTACTGTATGCAAACTACTTGAATCTAATCTGAACAATCTTTTGAAATCAATGTAAATTAAAAATCACCATTCTAATGATAGTATGAACTCTGTTTTGTTACATTAAAGGATAATTATGTGTGGCTAAAGTCTACTAACTGGATCTCCTCTTAGGGCTCGCTGTCCTGGGTTTCCAGGGTTTCCTCTGATACCTCTTGGACCCTGCAGTTTGAGCACAATGAAGATCATACATATGAATAAATCAATTAAATTAAAGCACTAAAGAGAGACCGTGTCATTGTTGATAAGTACAAAGAAGAATATATATGCTGGATTTTACTGGGCTGCCTGGATCTCCTCGCTCTCCTGGGCTTCCTGATGCTCCTGTTACACCCTGAGAGGAAAAAACAGATGTGGAATTTGTTTATCGACAGAAATGCATGACTTTCATATTGTGAAAATTCAGGGGAAACTAGATATTTAGATTTTTCTGAACAAAACGTGCAGTTGTTAGGTTTTTGCTAAGTGGTTAATATATAATACATATTTTGTGAATAAACTTAATATAATAGTGAGACTGCCTTAGTGAGCATTTAAGAAATTATACAGATATTATATATTTAAGATAACTTTTGTTTATTTTAGTTTGCATCATATCTATGTATCAGCCCTGGATTACTCACTGGATGTTAGAAGTGCACCATGATTTTCTTACCTGTTCACCATTTACCCCATCTAAACCATATTCTCCATCATCTCCCTATTAAAAAAGAAGATTAAAAGAGACTTACGACACTAATAAGCAATCAGCGGTTACATTACATTCATTAACAAGCCAAATGAAAGCGAATAAGAAAGGAGACAGGAACACAATTTATATGCAACCTCATAAAAACAACAAAAACCACAGGCTAAAACAAACCTTTCCAGATGGCAATCAAAGACAGTAATCCAAACACAGATGCCGGCTAGTAACTGCTGTCTGACAATAATTAGGCAGAAACTTGTATGATGTATAAAGCTACAGTAAGTTATTTTGCTCTTTCGTGTTCATGTGAACTTCAGATGTCAGTGTCCATATTCTTATGGATGTACTCACATTATTGCCTCTGTAGCCTCTGCCACCCTGAAGAAAAATAAACAAACAGCAAAAACTAAATGCTGCAGGTTTCAGCGCTAAAAAACATATTTAAAATTAAGTAAGAAAACACATAGCACTGCATGCTACCTTTATGCCTCTTCTTCCAATGCATCCCTGATGTCCTTGAGTTCCATTCAACCCAGGAAGCCCTCTCTCACCCTGAAACACATATGTATTGTACATGAAAGTCATAGGACATCAGTATTTTAGTATATTCACAATATATTCAGATATTGAAAGAGCTTACTGTGCATTTTTGTGTTTTACACAAAAATTAATAGTGCTTCTCACAAATACAGTATCAAGTTTGAGGTTGTAAGGTATCTCTAAAGTCTCTCATGCCCACTAAAATATACAGTAAAATGGTAATACTGTAAAATATTATTACAGTTTCAAATGACTGCTTCTATTTCAATATATTTTAATATATAATTTATTTCTGTGATGGCAAAGCTGAATTTTCATCATCAATTACTCCAGTCTTCAGTGTCACATAATCGTTCAGAAATCATTCTAATATTTATTATTATCAATGAAACGTTGTGCTGCTTAATATTTTGTGGAAACCATGATTAAGAAAGTTCAAAAGAACAGCAATTATTTGAAATATAATGAATTTATAACAATGTACAGTTCTTTGCTGCCATTTTTGATCAATTTCATCCTTGATGAAAAAAATATATTTTTTAATCTTACTGACCCCCAAACTTTTAATGTTAGTATGTGTTTAAATAGCACATTCATATTAGATGATGACAACAGCCACATCATTGACCAAGAAAAAGTTGTTTTATTCTACATTTAATTGTAAGAGTAAGATATACGTATATAGTATGTAATGCATTTTCATTTTTTTTCCTTTTATTTTCTTCATTTTCAACATTATTTTCCTCTATAAAGCTGAACATTGTGTATTGTAAAAGCACTATTTCTACAATGACTTTGGTAACCATCCGCACCAGTCCAAGGCCATTATCGTGTCGGGCCAGAGTAACAGTTTAACATTATTACAAAAAAATGTGTTATCATGTTAAGGATACAAACACGACAAACACATTGAGGTCCAATGGCATTGTAAAGTAACTTGCTTATCACATGAAAGTTGATTTAGAAAAATGAAAATAAATTTAAACATAAAAATAAGTGTAAAATTAAGAACTTACAGGTCCTCCTTCTTCTCCAGGGAAGCCAGGAAGTCCCCTCAGTCCAGGTGACCCCTAATCAGCAGTACAGTGACAAATTAAACACTTATCTCCATTTTCAAGTATTGTTCAGTAAATCTACGGTCCTAAATCTAATCACCTTCATCCCTGGATGACCATAATTTCCACGTGCTCCCTCATGACCTGTGCATTTACACATCACATTACAGCACTCCCTTGAGGCAACTGTATCCTGCAGATTGGAAGAAAGTGCGAGAATGAGAAACACTTGGCAGAAGGCGTTTTATATTATAAAGTGACTGTTGATACCAAGCACTTGACACCCTGACATCTTTCTTCAGCACTCTTTAAAAACACACAGCTGTTTCCCTTCCTCTTAGAGCCTCACACTCCCACCCACAGAAAGCCATTTGTTTACACAGCAGTCAAAACACTGTTGTGATTGATAAGGCAGCTAATGTACTTCAAATAACAATGTACTTGCATGTGACAAATAAGGCCCAAAAGTTCTCATAGCACTAAAATTGTGAAATAAAAAGCCATTCCTCATCGCCATGATCCGATTCTCTCAAAGTCTCATCCCTTGGTCTATGATTTGGATATTTAAATTGACTTACAATCTGCTTCTGCATGACACTGCCCACATTCTGCATGCCGATAGAGAGAAGCTGCTTGTAGTGCATCCCTTGACCGAACTCCAGCCTCTGCAGGTCAGCAGAGTTTTTAAATCCTTCTAGCGCCACAGTCATCAATGCTTTTACACCTGTGAATGTCACAAAGGGAGTCTTAGTAAACATAATGTGCATATTCAACCTCTGTTGAATTGAAGCAGGCGCATCTGTAACTGTAACTGCAGCATGAAGTGCAGTGTTTTAAAGAAACTCATTGCTGTTTAATCGCTGTACCACTGGTCCTGAGGCTGTTGACGGCAAGCAGAAGGTCCTCAACAGGCTCATCCAATCCATCTGTAAAGATGATGAGCACCTAGAAAGAAAAATCAAAGAAAAACGTTCTTCTCTGATGAAAAGACCAGTTTAGAACAACATAAAAATCTTTGTTGGTTCATGCTGGTTTATGGTGGTCAGTGCTGGTTCAATCAACCAACCAATCAATCCATCCATCCATCCATCCATCATCTCTGATGTATTTTTCAGATGTGCTGGTTTGTTAACTGCTGTTCTCACCTTTACATAAGAATTTGAAGCTCTGAACTTCTCCTCAAACGAGCGTAGAAGCTGGGTGTTGAATTTCAGAGATTGTGAAGTCTGAAGTGCCATCACTTTTTTTACCACACCTTCATCGTACTCGTCGAAGGAAAAATCATCCAGCATCTTTCCATTACCATCGACCAATCGGAACCCTACATTGGTTTTGAGGGTTGGGTTGCGGATACAGCACAGGTTGTGCACAACTGAAACGTACCGGATGATCTCGAGAAGGTAGGACTGCAGCTTTTTTTGGTCTCTAAAGATTGACTGAGAACTTGAACTGGTGAGCGAGTTGTCAAATCCGATGCCAATGTCAATAGTACAGCCTAAATAAAGAGAGACAGAATTTATATGTGATAAATTGAATGCTGTCAATGTTCTAATCACAACAATATGCATAAGTGAATAATTATATGCATATATTAATAATTATTGCCACGCTAAAGGTAATAAAGAGCTGACATTCAAATTCTATCCTATTAATTTAATTTAATTAAAAGTGAAACGATTTTAAAAAATCAATTATTTTAAATGCTACAAGTTAATTTGGGCATCAGAACATTATTATGTGCAATATGAAAAATCTACATTTAGAGATTTGCTAATTAGTGTTTTAGTGTTTAGTGTTGATTAGTGTTAATAAAGATTCATTTTAAGTGAGAGTTAGATGACGGGTAATCTGAAAGGTAATTTAAATGAAAAAATATGGGAAATTACCAATTAATTATGAACATTTAATATCCAATATAAAACAAAAATGATAAGTAAAAAAAAACTCTAATATTAGCCAAATAACCAATATAGTACAAACATACTGTGGATTCCTAATTCGGTGTTAATCTTAAAAGGTATATTCTAATTTATTTTCAGTTCTACAATTTAATATCACACATTTACATTTAGTCATTTAGCAGACGCTTTTATCCAAAGCGACTTACAAATGAAGACTATAGAAGCAATCAAATCCAACAAAAGAGCAATAAGTTTATATATATATATATATATATATATATATATATGCACATAGATGGTACTTCTACTCACTTGGATCTACTAAGGATTGAGGAACACAAAGGGCATCAACAAATGTTGCTGTTGTCAAATTAAGGTAGTTGAAGTTCTGCACTCTGAATATCCTATCTGGTGACCCGGCAATATAACTGAGCTGTGGCATCGAGACATCCCCAATTCCAATAACAAAGACGTTAATTCGAAGGCGTCTGAGATATTCGGCTGCTTCGTTCACACTGTCTGATGAAACGCCATCAGTAATAAGTACAAGATTCTGTGGTACGCCACTCACTGTGCGACTCCCTTTGCTCTCCTCGAAGAATTCCACAACGTTACCTAGAGCGTTGCCAATTTTTGTCCCTTCTTTAATTTGCTTGATTTGTCGAATTGCTGATATCACCCCCTCCACATCTTTATGCTCATTTAAGTAGAACTCCTTCCGATATGAGCTGCTGAACTGGGCTATACCAATTCTGAAAAGATCTGGAGAAATACGGAGCCGGTTCACAACATTTAGCAAGAAAGCAATCATAGTTCTCCATGACTCCTCGTTGATGCTTTCAGATCCATCAATCAGAAACACCAGGTCGGCTACCTCTATCTGGCATTCTGCAAGACAGAACAATCAGAGACAATCCAGTTCTAATCATGTTGATAAATCTGACATCTAATTTGACTTTGAATTCTTAAAGTCTGAAACAAAAGCTTTTACCTGGTTTGGTTGCATTGCAAAGCACACTGGAGATGTTCTTCTGCAGTCCTTTAAGGCCCTCGTAATTATCAACATGGAAGATTTTGTTTTTGTTCTTGGTAATGATCTCCAGCTCGCTCTCTTGAGCTCTAGCCACTCCAATTCCATACACATTTATACGTTTGGCCGCAAACTCATCAGCCCGTGCACGTAAATTTTCTCCGTCTTTAGCATCACCATCCGTAATTACGAACAGCATTTGAGGGATGCCCTGTTTCTGGCGCCCACCATTCTCTTCTTTGAAGTAATTGAGTGAGTATCCAAGAGCCTTAGCCGTGTTTTCGTTTCCAGTTGGGGACTTCAAGGTTTCTATGGCCTCAACTACCTGACGTTTGTTGTTGTACTGGTTTAAAGAAAATTGATTTGGAGTGCCTGAGTAAACAATAATGCCAATGCGAATTAGATTGTCCCCAATCTGTGTGCTGTTCACCACGGAGATTAAAAAGTTTCTAATGTTTTCAAAGTCTTGAATACGAATCCGTCTGGTGCACTGCACCAGGAAGATCACATCAGCCAACTGCTTGCCCGGACAATCTACAAGTAATATGAGAAAAACGTTTATTAATATTCTCCAAGTACTAGTGCTTGCTTGATATTGGTCATATCTACAGTATGTTGTTCACAGCAATACTTTGTAGTCAACCAACATGTTTGCATTTGAATAATTTTAACCGGGTGACTAACAGGAAGCCAAATTGCTATTCAAGTAAGTTAATTCACACAAAAATTAAAATGGCCCCATGATTTACTCACCCTAACCGCTAACTGTCATACGCGTGTACACGAGAGAGTGGCGTTATAGCGGATTGCGTAGGATGTAGGCATAGCCTAAGCTCCGGTGAGAAGTGAAGAACGCAGAAGTTCAGAGGGGAGAGCAAAAGAAAACACCGGTCACGAATTAGAAGTACAAAACGAGGATTTGTAAAGGAAAACATCAGAGGATTTCGATATAATCCAAGAGGAGACTGGTTTTCCTTTGCTGTAAACGCCACTCTCTCTTGTATGCGCATACAACAGTTAGCAGAAGCTAGAGATTACGATTTATAAAGTTTTAAATATGGATATTTTTCTAACACAAATGCATCGCTTTGCTTCAAGAGGCCTTCATTAGCCCCTTTATTAACTCTTCAAGTAAAATTGTGTGCAAAACTGACCTATAGAATTTACTCTAATGTAACGTCTTTACTTTGGAAAAATTCAAATTCAAATTTACCAAGGGTGGCATTTTGCAGAATGCCTTTGCCTGTTGAATTTTTTGGAACTATAAATCAGTACATTGAACTTTCTGTCAATCCAATTGAAATTTCAATTCAACTTCCTGCAGAATTCACAATTCAACTCATGAAATGAAAGACAGAAATTCTAAATTTTTCCAAACCCTGTATAAACAACATCCAAAACACAAAGCTGATCTTCTCAACAGGGATGTGCTGTAAACGTGGCATACATGAACATTTTAGGAATGTTTATGATTCACCTGTTTCAGTGCTGCAGAGCTTGAATTGGAGGTTTTTGTCAATGGACTGAAGTGCATCAAAATCCCTCTCCACGTACACTTTATCTCGAGTTCCACTGATCTCCCAGAGCTGTGTGGTGTTTACACTGCCCACACCTATTGAGAAGATGGTCACACCCTTGTCTCTGATGGCCTTCGCGGGTACAGCGACAGCATCATGAGCTTCCCCATCTGTGATAACTACAAGGAACTGTGGAACATCAGGCCGACCGCCGTTGGATTTGTCAAAATACTTTGAAATGAATGAGAGCGCTTTTCCAGTGTATGTGTTTCCCGTTATCTGTGTAATGCTGTTGATCGCTTTCGCTACTTCATCTTGGTTGTAGTACCTATTCAGTGGAAACTGCTCCTGTGGATTATCGCTGAACTGGACCACCCCGATGTGCACATTATCTTTTTCAATGACGGTACCATTTACAACTTTGGTAATAAACGTCTTCATTGATGTAAAGTCTAGGCTGTAAATGCTAGAAGAGCCATCAATCAAAAACATGATATCTGCCACTTTGTTCTTGCAGGCTAAAGGAAGTAGAAGAAAAAATCCAGTAAATACATCTAACATATTCAAAATTAGAAATAAAATCTTTACTCTACATTACCATTCAAAAGTTTGTGGAATTTCAATAATTTTTCAAATGTTTTTGAATGCTTACCAAGTAAAAACAGTAATATTGTAAAATATTATTATAATTTTAAATAACTGTTAACTATTTTAATCGCTTTCAAAAATGTAATCCTGTTATGGCAAAGCTGAATTTTCAGAAGCCATTACTTGAGTCTTCGGTTTCACAAGATACTTCAGAAATCACTCTAATATGCTGATTTGGTGCTCAAAAGTGTATCATCATTAATAATCTTGGGAAAAATTGCAGTTTAGTGGAAACGATGGTAGTTTTTTTCCTAGATTCTTTGATATATAGAAAGTTCAGAAGAACAGTGTTTATTTGAAAATGAAATATATTTTGTAATATTATAAATGTTACTGTCACATCAGTTTACTGTGTCCATGTTGAATAAAAGCATTGAATTCTTTCAAAAAAAAAAAAAACTTACCTCAAACTTTTGAATGGTAGTGTATCTTTAATAAGCATTTTAATGTTTTCAAGTTTTTCTAAATGTATGTTGTTTCAAACCAGACAAAAACATGGATTTTTTTCAGTATATGTATTAGTCTTACCCTCTTGTGAACAAATATCTGTGATAATTTCGTTCTTGAGGGCATTCAGAGCATCATAGTTGCTCACATAGAACTGCTTAGTTGCGTCAGCCGTCATTCTCAAGAGCTCATCCTGGTTGGCATCCCTTAATCCAATGGCATACACTGAAACACCTTGAATCCTCAGCTCTGCCGCTGGTTCACTCACCTCATCTTGGGATTCCTTATCAGTAATGACAATGAGAATCTCCTGAACCCTAGCCGGACGGGATGCTTTAGCCTGACTAAAGAGACTGGCCACATAAGTTAGTGCTTTGCCTGTCTCTGTGCCTCCATAGGGCTGAATGATGTTCTTCACAGCCCCTTCTAAGGAGACTCTGTTTTTGTGCTCCGTCAGACTGAACTGTAGAGTTGGATCACGATCGGCTTTCACAACTCCCACACGAACTTGATTGGGTCCAATGTTGAATAGTTGCAGGAAGCCCAGGATAAATTTCTTCACATCTTCAAAGTCGGCACGAGTGCTGCCAGAGTGGTCCAACAGGAAATAAATATCGGCTTCCTCTGTGTTCACACATCCTAAAAGTGAGGACTGAATTACAAGTACTGTACAAGGAACTATAAGCAGAAACCAAAAGCAAAAATAACATACTAAATTAAAGCATAACATATTCAGCACAAGCTCTTTAAATTAAGGGTATTATGATGTTACAATAAAAATAAAGCCTAAAAAATGTATGGAAAAGAATACAAAGTAATAAAATTATTATGAAAAATATTATCATTATGTAATCATTTCTCCTCAACTATTACATAAAGTGGCTGAAAATTTCATTAAAAGTTATGAGGCAAAAAAACATCATGCTGAATCTAACTAAATCTAACTAATTTATCAATCATTTACTTGAAATAGTAGGCCTATGTACTCCCTCGACAATATAGGAAGTTAATGATGTTTTTGACTCTTTTAACACATTTCCTACATTGTTTGTTGCTTTTACCTTGTTTTAGGATGAATCTATTGTTCTTGTCAAAACCTCTATCGACCACAACCTTACAAAGGCTCTTTCTGAGGCTTTTCTCCAGCGAAGTAAGCATCTGAAAACTATCCACATTGAACACAAACTGCCGTTCAGGGTAAGATCCTATTTTTTGGAGCTCCTCCACACTAGCATTCTTCACCCCGAGGGCATATACAGTGACTCCTGAGCGCCTCAGCTCAGCAGCTGGGGAGGTGACATCATCTTGTGACTTGCCATCAGTGATGACGACAGCTATCTGCTTAACACCGAGAGCTTTCCTGCTGCCCCTCCTCTTAGTAAAGAGATTGTCCTTGGCAAGCTTCAGGGCCGCACCAGTTGCAGTTCCTCCGCCTCTGTATGGTAAGATTTTAATATAGTTCAGAATATCTCTCTTGTTAACGAAACTGTCCAAGTAGAATTCAGCACTGGGTCTGTCATTGTAAAGAATCATTCCCACCCTCACACTGTCAGAGTTCACCTCGAGGCCACTAATTGTGCGGTGGAGGAAACTTTTCACTAGTTGAAAGTTGCTACTGGTGATACTACCCGATTCGTCCACAATAAACACAATATCCGCCACTTGGGCTGATGTGCAATCTGTTCAAAAACAATAAAAATACATTAATATAGGTTAACAAGTGGAAAATACTGTGGTAAAATTTAACCGTAACAATTATCACAAAATTACACATTTTATTAAAATTATAGTTGTATATTACGGTGTACACTGCATGTTTTTTTTTTATCAAATGTGACCCTGGACCACAAACCCAGTCTTAAGTCGCTTGGGTATATTTTTAGCAATAGCCAAAAAAACATTGTATGGGTCAAAATTATAGATTTTTCTTTTATGCCAAAAATCATTAGGATATTAAGTAAAGATCATGCTCCATTAAGTTATTTTGTCAATTTCTTACCGTAAATATATCAAAACTTAATTTTTGATTCGTAATATGCATTGCTAAGAACTTCATTTGGACAACTTTAAAGGTGTTTGATTTTTTTGCACCCTCAGATTCCAGATTTTCAAATAGTTGTATCTCGGCCAAATATTGTCCTATCCTAACTAACCATACATCATATATAATGTCTATATATAATATATATATAAATGTCAATTTCAAAAAATTTACTCTTATGACTTGTTTTGTGGTCCAGGGTCACAAATAAGGTTTTCAGTTTGTTTTACTGGCTCTTATTCATTTTGCTAAACAAGACAACAATATTAAGCTCTCTGCTGCCCCCTTAAGCTCTGGAGTACAAATGGTGTTTATGAGATGTTTCAACAGATTGACTGATATGCAACATATGTTAATGCTTTTATGAAAAAAATCAGCGTTTGAGGTAAATTATGTTTACTATTTGGTTGAATTGCAAAACTTGGCTTGTCATGATCTCAACATAGCAGCCACCATGAGGGTGGTGACCCACCTTATGTAGAATAAAACAGCTTCTCTGTCACGTATATGACTGGAGTCATCATCTCATTGATTTTAATCAAAAATATTATTCATATCTTGTGTCAAACTTACTTAATGCACCTTAAAGAATATATAATTCATAATGTGCTGTTATGTCGGTATTGTTCGTAGTTAAAATAAAGGCAAACTAACCTCCTGTAACATTGAAAACTTCTGTTTCCTGAATTCGTTTTGTGATATCTGCAGCAACATCAATGATATTCTGATCAACCTGGAAAGTGCGTAGCGTAGGTGACAGGTAGCGTAAATTTGCTTCCAATCTGATATCAATAACAGTCACATCCTCATTCTTCATTGTTCGTATGGCCCTCAGAGTGGAGTCGGAAGAGTTCCCTTTTCTCAGTACCAGCAGATACTGCTTGTAGCCTTTAGCAATTCTGCTGCCAGATGCCGTGTTAAGAAAGTGAGTACGAACATAATCTATGGCCTGTCCTAATTTTCGCTCTCCATTGGGCCTGGGCTCGAACCGATTTATGTACCCTCTGGCTTTTTCCGTTACTTTGTAGTCATTAAACAGGAACGCCTTGACGACGTTCTCTCCAAATTGAGCCAGCGCGATCTTATGAGATCCATCTCCCACATTGAGCTGCACAGCCAGTTGGTTGAGAAGTTCCCTTATCTGCTGTGTTTCTCTCTGGGCCAAACTATCCACCAGGACAAATACATCAGCAAACCTTGGGGCAATGGCTGAAACAGACACAAAATGAATAATTGACAACTATTTTATATATTTGCACATATAAATACATGAATATTCAACATATTACACAGTTATTGCTTACAACTTAACCAGCAGTGATGGTCATTTAAGATAAAAGCTAGTAAGAAGCCATTCACATATAATGATTTTAAAAATACAAGACACAGGGCAGAACTCTTTTCAACTTCAGCAAGAAAAAGCTGCAAAAGACATGAGGCATGAGTGCAACAGTCGTTTTTTGGCATTTTATATGTACTCAGCATGAGCATAGCTCAGCTTAGACTAAAAAAGCAAATATTCATCAAGATTCTTCAACATGCTTGATATGAATTTCATTTATTTTCTTTTCTTTTCTTTTCTTTTCTTTTCTTTTCTTTCTTTCTTTCTTTTGTGGTGGTTAGTAACATCACTGATGTACATTATATAATAATAAACAGCACATACAATTATTAAAACTTGAACTAACAATAAAAGTAAAGCTTCAAAAAAAATTAAAAGCTAATTCAAATATAACTGTATATAAATCGTATTGAATAACACTGTACCAGGTGTAAACAGTTATCTTGCTTGATCACTTGTGATTGGATTGCCAGAGACAGATTCAGAACTCAGGTGTATACAGGCTTGTTGACTTCTGAACAGTTTTTAACACTTAATTTACCTTTCCCCTGATCCCTCATCAAGATACACACTGTCTCCTTCATGGTGGTCGTCAGTCCTTGCAGTGCTTGGTAATTGTCAATATTAACCACAAAACGCTCAGGTGGTCTGTTGGCGATAGCCTTTAACTCAGTCATATTCGTTAGACCAACACCAATGGCAAAGATGATAATACCCTTCTGTCGCAGATCTTCAGCAGGTACTTTTATATCATCGGCTGAGTCTCCATCTGTGATCACCACAACAATCTGAGGCACTTTTACATTGATACGGCTTCCACCCACATTCGTGAAATAGTTGTCCTTAAGAAAATGCATGGCTTTTCCCATGTATGTGCCTCCTGTTCGGTATGGAAGGTTATCTATTTTGTTAAACAGCTCCGCTTTGTTTGCATAGTCCCCTATCAGGAACTCTTTGTGGGGATCGGTGCTGACCCGAGCAAGGCCAACTTGTACCTTTTTAGTGTCAATATCCAAACCATCCACGAACGTGTGCATGAACGTCTTAACATCCCGGAAGTCTCGAGTACTGATGCTGCTAGAACTATCCACAAGGAATACAATGTCATATGATGGATTTTCATCCAGGCATCCTATCAATGAGAGTATAATAGACAACACATGACAATTAAGACATGTATAAGTGTCATAAATGACACAAATATACACTACTGTTCAAAATTTGGCGGTTGGTAGGATTTTTGTCATTTTGTCTTTTGTCATCAAGGCTGCATTTATTTGATTAAAAATACACTAAAACAGTAATAATGTGAAATATTATTTCAGTTATAAAACAACTACTTTCTTTTTTAATAGATATTTTTTAAATGTAATTTATTCCTGTGATGGCAAAGCTGAATTTTCAGCTGCAATTACTGCAGTTTTCAGTGTCACATGATCCTTCAGAAATCATTCTCAAAGATGCTGATTTGATGCTCAAAACACATTTTGAAAGAGTTGTGCTGCTTAATAATTTTTTGAGGGAAACATGATACATTTTTTCTTTTTTTTTTATGAATAGAAAGCTCAAAAGAATAGAATTTACTTGTTACAATTTAAATCTGTACTGTCTCATTTAATTAATTAAGTGCATTCTCCTTGCTGAATATATGTTTTCTTTTTATTCAAAATAAAAATCTTACTGACCAAACTTTTGAACGGTAGTATATCAAATCAAAAATCCCAATACAAATTATAAATACAATAAAAAAAATAATAACAGACAATTGCTCAAAAACACTAAACACACATAACATTCATCATCAATAGTATCAATAACATAAATTTTCTGTGGGCCATGTTAAAATAAAAATCCATATATTATTAAGGAAACTGTACATTTTCAGTAAATTAGACATGGCAAGTATTTGTGTGGAAGGTGTTTACCTGTTTGCTGTGCAGTGCTTACAAGGAAACATGATATAATGATTAAACCAAAAAGAAATGTCCTTATCTTCCCCATTGTCTGAGCACGTCCCGAAGATCTTAACAGAAAAAAAAAGAAATAATTTTAGCATGATATTTCCAATAAATTTAGTATCACCTGATACTAAACCTAATTTGACCCCTAACTTGAGCAAGACGCTCCTTACACCAGTGGATATCTGGCTTTTATAACAGGTGAATAAAAATTATATAAAAAAAAAATTAAAGTCAAAGAAATACATCAGAAAGATACAATTATTCCTAAAAATACATATTTTAAACAAATAACTGAAATGAGTCTGTCTGTTTGTCTGCTACCAAATGAATTAAAAACATAGCAATGACCAAATAAATTAGCTACTACAGTGAGGCAAACAAAAGGGTTTATTTTTTCCTGTTTGAGTTGGAATAACAGCAGAGAGCACGTTTCACACACAGACCAGCCGTGAAATGTAAAGTCAATTGTGGGCCTGTCTAAACCCTCAAGCTCTCATAGCCCAAGACCCCAAATCTTTCATGTGGTGAGAAGAAAGGAATTCCAATCTGTTCCTGGCATGAAGAACACAACCTCTCAAAGACAGGACCCAACAACCACATAAATGTTAGACTTCCCATAGTCCCATGTAATGTTTTCAGTTGCTAAGATTTTTTCTTATTTTGAAGAAAAATAAATGCAAAATGTAATGAATGTTTAGACCATTCCTATCCTTTCTGGGAAGCCACACTCTGAATCCAGATGGCTGCAAATAATGATTGTTTGAAAACAGGTTTCAAACATTGTCCCCTTGTCTGCCATTAATCAAATAACAAATATTTCCACACTAAAAGGAATAGTTGACCCAAAAATAAAAAAATGCTAAAAATTTAACCTTAAAATTTAAAAAGTTTGTTTCGTAATTGGAACAGATCTGGAGAAATTTAGCATTACATCACCAATGGATCCTCTGCAGTGAATGGGTGCCGTCATAATAAGAATTCAAACAGCTGATAAAAACATCACAGTAATCTACATGACTCCAGTCCATCAATTAACGTCTTGTAAAGTGATAAGCTGCATGTTTATAATAAACAGATCCATCATTAAGATGTTTTTAATTTCAAACCACTGCTAAAATATGAGTCCTCTATCCATAATATTGCTTTCTCCAGTGAAAAAGTTGCCTAATCTGAATCAGGAGAGAAATATGCACAAATCAAGCACCGTTTACAAGTGAAAACAGTTCTAAGCAACAGGGAATTAACTTTTTCACTGGAGGATTGAAGAAGAAACATTCTGACGGCACCCATTCACTGCAGAGGATCCACTGGTGAGCAAGTGATGTAATGCTAAATTTCTCCAAATCTGTGAAGAAAACAAACTCAGGTACATCTTTAATGGCCTGAGCTTGAGTACATTTTCAGCTAATTTTCATTTTTGGGTTAACTGCTCCTTTAACTCATGCCACTGGTTGACAAAACTTAATGGGCTGGGCAGCATAGGAGAGAGAAATAAAGGTCAATATATTTTGTTGTTATTTTTCATTAATCAAATTCAGTCACATTCTTCTTTGCCTTCCACAAGGCAATGGACACATCTGTATCCGCTTGCTTCGCTCCTTTCATGTTTTTGAGAGCTACAAATGTCCTATGAATAGAAAGTTACACGTGCCCGTCATCCCAAAGTAGGAGCTCAAAGGAAATCACATCTAATATGTATTCTGCTCGTTTGATCTCATGTTTAAAAAAATGGTCTTCTATAATAGAATATTATAGAATAACAGAACAACTTGCTCTATTACAAAATTCTTTCTAACACAACTCATTCATTATATTAAGGCTTTACCCATTGACAAGCTTTTATGTCTTGTGTTTCACAATGCTATTACTTCCTATAGGCAAACCTAGGCATGCAATATTATATGCACTTTTTTACTTTGTTGTTTGTTTCAATTGAAGTTATTTGCATGTGCATCCCAAACAACTTCTTTCAGTAATTCTCCAGCGTCGCGCCGCCCCGGTTTATTCATTTATGAGCTGCTCAGTTGAGTTGGACGGTGCAGTTGCTTTAATGTGGTCTGCTGTTCTTGAAACACTTTCAGTATAAAGAATAGAAAAATTGAGAACATTTCCAACAGATTAAGGTTTTAATAAAAGAAAAAAGTTTTTTCAACACAAAGGCAAAAAAAAAATTGTCATTTTGATTTTTCAGAAATCATTCTAATATGCCGATCTGCTGCTCAAGAAACGTATAATGATCAATGTTGAAAACAGTTTTGCTGCTGAATAATTCTGTCGTTTACAAGTGAAAACAGTTCTAAGCAACAGGGAATTAACTTTTTCACTGGAGGATTGAAGAAGAAACATTCTGACGGCACCCATTCACTGCAGAGGATCCACTGGTGAGCAAGTGATGTAATGCTAAATTTCTCCAAATCTGTGAAGAAAACAAACTCAGGTACATCTTTAATGGCCTGAGCTTGAGTACATTTTCAGCTAATTTTCATTTTTGGGTTAACTGCTCCTTTAACTCATGCCACTGGTTGACAAAACTTAATGGGCTGGGCAGCATAGGAGAGAGAAATAAAGGTCAATATATTTTGTTGTTATTTTTCATTAATCAAATTCAGTCACATTCTTCTTTGCCTTCCACAAGGCAATGGACACATCTGTATCCGCTTGCTTCGCTCCTTTCATGTTTTTGAGAGCTACAAATGTCCTATGAATAGAAAGTTACACGTGCCCGTCATCCCAAAGTAGGAGCTCAAAGGAAATCACATCTAATATGTATTCTGCTCGTTTGATCTCATGTTTAAAAAAATGGTCTTCTATAATAGAATATTATAGAATAACAGAACAACTTGCTCTATTACAAAATTCTTTCTAACACAACTCATTCATTATATTAAGGCTTTACCCATTGACAAGCTTTTATGTCTTGTGTTTCACAATGCTATTACTTCCTATAGGCAAACCTAGGCATGCAATATTATATGCACTTTTTTACTTTGTTGTTTGTTTCAATTGAAGTTATTTGCATGTGCATCCCAAACAACTTCTTTCAGTAATTCTCCAGCGTCGCGCCGCCCCGGTTTATTCATTTATGAGCTGCTCAGTTGAGTTGGACGGTGCAGTTGCTTTAATGTGGTCTGCTGTTCTTGAAACACTTTCAGTATAAAGAATAGAAAAATTGAGAACATTTCCAACAGATTAAGGTTTTAATAAAAGAAAAAAGTTTTTTCAACACAAAGGCAAAAAAAAAATTGTCATTTTGATTTTTCAGAAATCATTCTAATATGCCGATCTGCTGCTCAAGAAACGTATAATGATCAATGTTGAAAACAGTTTTGCTGCTGAATAATTCTGTGATATCAAGCAGTTTCTGTATCTAGTTTCTGGATTCTTTGATGAATAGAAAATTTTGATAAATTTCGATCAATTTAATATGATGAATAAAAAAAGTATTAATTTCTTTCAGTAAAAAATATTGTTGACTAAACTTTTGAATGGCAGTATATATAAAAATACTATCAGACTGAATTTTTGTTTATTTTACTAATTTATTATTATCACTATTATTATAACCATCATTATTCTATTGCACTATATCTAATTTAAGTTTCATTAAATCAGCAAAATAAAATCTGTACCTGTTTAGATTCCATTATCATTTTGACGTAGAACTGCTTAAATTCACTGCAAACTGTGGCAACCAGGATTTTATTCTTCTCCCACATTAAACGACACCCCAGTACAGGATGAAAGAAAATGGGTGGCCCACACCTGTTCTATGCCATTAAAAATGTCAACAGTTTTGATGAACCAGATTTGGACAGAAAAAAATAATAATATCCAAACTTCCCAAAAGAGTTTTAAACCCTTAAGCCAGAACCAACTGAACTGTTGTGAGGCCCATATGTTTAAGGGTAACAGGAAAGGTGGATCAAATATTGTGCACATGGAAGTAATTAAACTGTGAAGAGAGAGTTGACTGATTGAGAAAACCAAAACCAGAGGCCATGACATGTCACTGAGGCATATCTTTGCATGCACGTTTATTTCATAATTGTTCCCTGCCTTATGATTTCAGAGATCAGACAATGTTTGACACAAATATTAATAAGACAACATTTAAATGAATAAATTAAGTAAATCATCTAATGACCATAACATTCCATGAATCTGAGCAAATGAAAGCCTTTAGACACAGCTAAGTTTTGATTATTTATTTCTTAAAAGTAAATGACTGATTACAGCACAATCTTCTAATTCTAATAATTTACTGATTTTAAGTCAGAAATTGATTTTGGAGATGGGCAAAATGCTACTAGCATGCATGCCAACAAAGGAGTGTGGAAAATAAACATCGGCACACAAGCGATAAGAGAGAGAAAGGAATATTATGCCATTCAGTTATAGTAATATAATATAAATGGTAAGGATGACAGTACAGAGAATATACCAAGAAAAATTCTTGGGGAAAAAATACCTATCTGGACCTTGACTAGAATTGCATTCAACAATGGCAAATGTTCAAGCGCTGACAGACACCATGTGGCAATGCACACCACATCAGATAAGGTAAACAAACGCCTTTGATGCTCTCTTCTAATTACTCCCATTTATTTTGCATACTAACCATGTCTATAACACAGCTGCATATGTTGCATATGATGTAAACATTCCATGGTATGGTACTATGTTTTTTATATGATCAAGCATGATGACAGCATAGAACATATGGATCTGATCACCTCTAACTGGAGCTCCAGATGTGCAAATTAGTTGGCTTTTAAAATCCCTAAACCCAAGAGCAAATTTTTGGCCTACATACACCGAATTAGCTAACTAACACCTTAGAAACCCTTCTGAACTCCTTAATTAATTAAAAAAATTAATGCATGACTGTCAGACTTCAAGGCATTGCCAAACCATTCACATTTTGACTAGATACAATTTCCGTTCTGTTAGTTTACCAGACGTTCTAAAACGGTTCTTTCACAACTGCTTTATGTGCAATTTAATCGCTGTAAAAATGAAGAATATATTTCATATGTGAGGAGCTTAAGTTGTGTGCCTCCTCAGAAACTGTTGCAACAACACTGCATTTCCCCCTCATTTCCAAACCAGACTAGGCCCTTATCTGATTGGCGACACTGTATGCAAGCCTTCAGGACTGAAGGAAATTCCTGCTAATGAAATGGTATATCTCAGACCAATGAGACCACTCCAGAACAAGCAACGAATCTATCATATTCATGCAGGCATGGAGAAAAAGATGAGGACGTTTTAAACAAATACTTACAATAGGCATTTCTTCCCAAAACTGAACAAATTTTGCCTACTTTTTGTAGTATATTCCCAATTCATTTGCTACATTTCTTATTTCAGGAAGCGTTTATTTTAATGAGACAGACGACTAAATCTTGTTAGCCCAGTTTGCCCCTACTAGTAGACACTCGTAACGACACCATCTGTTTGTAAGTCGCTTTCTTCAGTGATGACCATAAAAAAGTTGCTGTGTAAACAAAATGCAAATATTTATATTATAGTATATTTTTACCAGTTCTATTTATTTATTTAGTTAGTTAGTAGATGTAGCCTACTATTTTCCTCTTATCATTACTACTTTTCACGTCATAAATCAAGATAGTAGCTTTGCACACTTTTAAGAGATCTCAAAAAACCGGCCACTAGTTTAAAAAAAATTCTATAGGCTACAATAATATAACGAAATAATTTATTTTGATATATGACTTGGAAAAATACATTAAATAAAAAATTACATTTAAAATTAAACGTAAATGTAAAATGTAAAATTTAATTTAAAATTCATTTAAAAAAAATGTTTGTCAGAAAATGTGCATAATTATTTGCATCTATGTGAAAGGAGACATGTTTAACTGTTAAAAAATATCGTTATCACCACCATGATTATTATAATAAAGTAACCTTGACACATTTTTAAACACAAAATGCAAGAAGAGAGCTTTACTTTGATACAAACCAGTTTCCAAATAGGCTACTTTAAAGCCTCATATTTCTAGCAGTTCTCTCCAAACACTTGCAGAACCACCCATATCTTATTATAATAAAAACACACACAACATTCATTTTCAGCAATAATGAAAGCAATGCCTCTGCATGCAAGAATGAAGCGTGTGCACTTACTGTACATCTGTCGGAGAGCGAGACAAAAATCCCACTGCAAAAATTATGTTTTTTATTGTTATCATGTTTTATTGTGTTAGTTTTACTTAATCAAAATAACCCAATTGCAGTTTAATTGAGATTAACTGAAATGCACAATGAAAAAACATGATTTTTGAAAACAGTTATCTGTTTGTGTGTGTGTGTGTGTGTGTGTGTGTGTGTGTAATATACAGGGAGAGAGAGAGAGAGAGAGAGAGAGAGAGAGAGAGAGAGAGAGAGAGAGAGAGAGAGAGAGAGAGAGAGAGAGAGAGAGAGAGAGAGAGAGAGAGAGAGAGAGAGAGAGAGAGAGAGAGAGAGAGAGAGAGAGAGAGAGAGAGAGAGAGAATCATTATATAACTTATAGGCTATAGATTTTTTTTAATTGGCCCGTTAAAGACTCTATAGACCCCATGAAATCAAAACTGCCATTTTTTGGCTTGTAATCCATGTGTGCAAATCATTGTGAAGGACTTGTTTTAAAGCCCTTCAGTATATCCAACATTGTGCTGTTTGCTCAGATCCAGCTGCATTTACAGATTTCTGTGCAATGAAAGACAGTGTGTTTAGAAGACTGTTAGGACTATTTAAGATCATTGTTAGCATAATGCTCTTGACCAGTGCATGTTACTTGTTTAGCACATCATAAAAAAGATGTGCAGAATTCATATATTATCTGCTGACACAATAATGAATGGATGAACTTTTCACCAAGGACCACATTTTAGTTAAATGACATCACAGTCTTTGCCTCTCACACTCCCCAACTTTAGCCATATATCTTAGGAACAATCCCAGACAACCACACATGGGCTTTCACCTCAGGCTGTGCTGGCTTTAGTCAACTCCCAAACCCAGCCCTGGAAGTTATCTTGAAGCAATGTAGAGTCAAACACTGGTGACTATCAAAAAAGTGCATGGATCCCCCATGAAAGATGTCAAAAAGACCTGACTGATTGTAATTTTGACCACACATGGATTTTACATTGCATGACCAAAGTACTACATACATGTCTGCACTTTACTATCCCTTGTGTTAAAGCAGCGATAACTCAGAACATGTGCTCTTTCTGTAAGGTGAGAAGACATCTCATACACATAGTCCACATACCATTACAGCTTGCTGTTTCAGGCAGCCCATTTACTTTTTTTTTATTAAAGGAATAGTTCACCCAAAAATAAAAAATTGACTCACCCTCAGGCCATCCAATATGTGGATGAGTTTGTTTCTTCATTAGAACAATTTATCATCACATAATTTGCTCACCAATGGATCCTCTGCAGTGAATGGGTGCCGTCAGAATGAGAGTTCAAACAGCTGATAAAAACATCACAATGATCCAGAAGTAATCCACATGACTCAATCAATCAATGAATCAATTAACATCTTGTGAAGGAAAAAGCTTAGTGTTTATAATAAACTAATCCATGAAGACATTTTTACTTCATTTAGTCTAAATAAAGAGAGAAATATGCACAGATCAACCACTTTTTACAAGCAAAATAAATAAATAAAATAAATAATAATCCAAAACCGTTCTAAACAAAAATGTTGGTGTATTGTGATGTGAGAGGACATCAGAGGATGGACTTTTTCACTATAGGAAGCATTATTATAGAATACAGAATCATATTTTGGCCAGAAGTGAAGGTTTAAAGTTAAAATATCTTAATGATGGATTTGTTTATTACAAACGCACATAATGTTAATTGATGGACTGGAGTCGTGTCAATTACTTGTGGGTTGTTGTGATGTTTTTATCTACTGTTTAGACTGATTCTGGTTTTCTCTGTTTTCTCTGATTCGTGTTTTCTCTGGGATTCTTGGATTTTTACCTTCTTCTACAACTTAAGCTGTAGTTTTATATGGGAGCATGCTTTATAGACTGTAACAAATGCAGCTATGATGATTGCTACATTTATTCACCGTGGACATTCTTGGTGAAAGAAAACTCAAATGTTGACTGAATTGTCAGCATCAGGTTTAGTTTCTGTGAATTATCCCAATAGATGTGTCAGACAAAGCTAAACAGAATAGGGGACATTACGCAGAATTGGCCAGACAAGCAGGCTCTTCAGATTTGTTTTGGCTAATGCCTTTGGGATATTGTTTGTGGTTTAGCTATGGGTTTATGGTTCATATCATTACAAAACCATTATGAAGTCAAGTGTTTATGCAAATGTATGATTTAAAAACATCTTACTCCTGCTTTAAAAAACAAGAGTATCTAACATTATTATTTATCTTTAAAAAGTGCATGCCATTTCCCTTTTTTTGTCTTTTGATACTCTATATACCTCAAAGTATTTAATTTCTAGGTGACTGTGAAAAGAATTGTTGTTCCAGGATCACAAAAAGAGCTGAGAGGGGGATGTGTCTTATATAAATCCATTCAGAGGGTTCCAATTACATCTGTGCAGCTGAGCAGATGTTTCTCCATGATTGGGAAAGGGAAATTCTAAGCAAATCTATAGTTCCTCAGAAATTCTTTGAAACTAGCAGGGTCCCTTTTTGATTTCCATGATTTCAAATCTGGAAAGAAAAAACAACGTAGTGAGTAGAACATGCCATAACACTAACTGTACCAAGGCCACTGGCTCAGTGCACAGTGAAAATAAATACTACACTAAAATCTTCAAAGCATTTTAAATTGTAAATTTGCATGCATTTGTAATCATGAACATATGCAACATGCATGTTCCTTGCGTGGGAGGAGTGTGGGAGGAGCATGTTCAGATAATCCACTTAATTTTGATTTCCATGATTTCAAATCTGGAAAGAAAAAACAACGTAGTGAGTAGAACATGCCATAACACTAACTGTACCAAGGCCACTGGCTCAGTGCACAGTGAAAATAAATACTACACTAAAATCTTCAAAGCATTTTAAATTGTAAATTTGCATGCATTTGTAATCATGAACATATGCAACATGCATGTTCCTTGCCCTCAATGACATGATGTTTTATTAACAAAGTGTGGGAGGAGCATGTTCAGATAATCCACTTAAATAGCATGATAAATATTTATACATGTATATGTTCTCTGGGTTTGGGCTACATTCCGAACTTGGAGCCCTCCCCTCAGACAGCACGGCAAATATGCTTACTGCTATATGCTCAGTCTGATTAAGTGAATACTTATTAAAATATCAAGAACAACAAGCAAGAGCTCACTGATTTATGAAACTGACAGAGTTAGTTATAGACCACCAGTAGAATATTTTAGGAAGTTAAATCAGTTAGATAAAGTCATAAAATTATAAAACATCAAAAGTATAAATTGGGAAAAATTTCCTTTTTTTCCTCTGAGGCGGAAATAGGTTTAGGATAAAGGTGTGCAAAAATTCTTGTTATTCACTAAATGTACTAGTGATTTAAAATAGATCAGGCTTAATGTCTCTCCTCCAGATTTACGTTCTCTCCTGCATGCCATTTTTGGTCTTACATTTTTACTCAGGTACTAATCGAAATGAAATGTATTGTGATATAAAAGAAAACCTTGATTTAAGTTTCCTTTTTTCTTTTCCTAGCTGATTTTTCCCCCACAGAAACTCCCACATTTCTTTCACTGTGGTTACTGCTAAATTTCAATATGGTCAAAACTGATGTGTTCATGTCTGTAGTGTGTGTCGCATATGTGCATGTGTACTAACCTCTCTCGTAAATGTGGCATTGGTCATATGTAAGTCATATAGTTGATGTTAAAAAGATTTGTTTACGTCAAGCTGTTTGCATATTTCTCTGGGTGTGCAACCGGCTCTCCTTTAACCACAACATAAATTCACTGCACTAAAAAAATGTTAGAAAAAAATTTGAGATAAACAACGTCCACCAGCTAATCATTGCCATATGAATGCTTATTTACATAAACCCAAACTTGATAGTAAAATGAAGAATATTAGAGTGTTGCAAGGACCTCTCTAATTAGTCTGTGATTCGTTTAAGTCTAGTTAAGGATCTGGGTTCAGTTCTCTTCAGTGTTGCAAAACTTACATGGAATCCAAAGTTGAGCAGTTATTAATCAACTCTTGAAATGTCTGTCAGTGTCAACCAATCACAATCTGACAATGTTGTAGCATAATACAGCAATAGGGCACATGAGGCCATGCTTTCCAGTGAAAGCACAGGCACTCTATAAGTGGCGTTCTAGGGTTTACCGTGGTGAACATCAATAAACGACACGCGTTATCGACACAGGTACTGTCAGCAATTTTTTTCCGTCTAACAATATGCTGAAAATCATTCTACTCACCAAAAGATAACACTAACATATAGTGAACAATAACATAAAAAAGGCTTTGTTTAGCCAATCAGGAAGTGTTTCTGTCAGTCAAACGTTTTATTTCAATCTATGGAAATGCAAATCATAAAAAGCATAAAAATAGTGAAAAATCGCTTTTTAACTCTTGTTCCATTATTACCACTTAGCAGATTTTGACTCATTTAGGATTTCCTTTTCAACTCACTGGATATTTTATACCTTTATAGTGTTTTTTGTACTAAAAACTAAATAAATTACAGATGTTAGTGATTTTAAAATGAGTTGTTTTTGTAGAGTGAAAACAATAAATGTTATTTAAAAAAAATTTTACAATGAATCACATATAGGGGATGTAACGATTACCGGTTTGACGATAAATCATGATAAAATTCCCCACGGTTAGCATTACCGTTTCATCTTTTAATTTTGATTAAACCCGTATTAGATTACCGCGATTTGAACAACTAGCGATAAATAAATACTGTCCAGCATAAAGCACAGTTTTAAGTAACAGTCTCACCTGCGCACAGCACACGGAGTAGTTTTGGTTTTGAGTTAAAATAGGGCGGAAAAGCTGGGAGGTTTTAAAATAATTATACAAATGAATATGAATTAATTAATTATATGAATGTACCTCTGAAGGTTCTAACTGTCTTCAGAAACGATTCGATGGCATTTTGTTTTCATCTTCGCTCCATGTAATACCTAAAGGAAGTGTTCTTAATCGCTATACTGCTTTGTCCACGGA